CATCAAGAGCAAAACAACATGAAAATGAAACAACAAGAGGCAGGGAAGGCCAAAAAAAAAGGGATTGAAGAGTCACGGAAAACTTGAGATTTAAACATCACGGCATATGAAGCGATGAGCGCGCCCGGGTTTTCAGTTCCCGACATTGATAACTGCGACGCCTAGCGAAGAAAAAGTTTAACGGTGGGGTTTTGGGTTTTGGGTTTTTGGGGGGGGGGGGGGGAGAGGGGAGACCCAGGGGGAAGAGGGGGAGACATTTCTTGTTTCCTTAGGTCACTGGTGGAAGATTCACACTGTGGAAGAGACTGGGGCCTCTGTACATTGTGTTCCGATAGTTAACAGTGAATACACACAAGTCAACCTGTATTGAGGAGACGAAGCCTTTTTTTTTTTTTTTAATCTTTAGATTTTACATAAAAATATTTTTTTTAAAGCCTGCCTGTAAGGTTTTAGTTCTCGCCCCCACCCCCCCCCCCCCCTTTCCCCCCACATACATTGATCATCATTTTTCCCTCTTAGCGTTCACCGGCTGTGAACTACGGCGGAAAACGTTGGTTGTTCGTTCACATATGAACTCTCAGGCAGATGCACTCCGACTTCGAAGGCAGCTCATAATGAGTCGACTCTTACGACATGCTTCTTGGTAGGCAATTGGTCTATTCTTGTTTCACCCACATGGGAGCCCGGAACCCACACGGGGAAGTGCAAGTATTAACAGTTGCAGCTGTATCTCTCCCCTTACACGTGTGATGGTTTCTAATCTTTATTTACGTTTCTACAGTCTCAATGGTTGAAAACAAACGGATACCTGGACACTACGCAGCCCTTGCCAGTTTCCCTTGAGTTGCAGTCAAATAATGTAAGTAGTTTAATTAGTTCACCTTACTTGTTGTCGTGAAATGATAGCCATTACGCATCGGTCTGTAAGGCTGATAACCTGACTTACCTGTAATCTGCACAAAATTCAAACTTGGACTCGCCCGGAAAGATATAGTCCCTTATATCTATATATATAGGCCTTTATTGGACAACATTATTATGTCTACCTTTTCTGGTTACTTTAACTAAACTCCACTTTTAAATGTATATATCTTCGATATATATAAAGGGAGTTATTTGAGGTTTCGTGGAAACCGATTTACTCCTTGCTCATGTATACTAGGGACTTCTTTTTGCACCAACGCCTGAAGTGTCTAAGTGACGCTATTCTCTCTTGCCGGCTCTAAGCGTCCAGACGTGTCAATCTATGCCTGTATCATTTCATTTTTCAAGACGATCTGGAATGTCTCAGCTTTTACATATGCTTGGGTAAGTTAATTATAGTTTACGAGTACCTAAAATGATGTCTGTAAAGTAGTCACTGCTGTAGAGAGATCAGTATCGGCTGTGTGATCACACTTAGTTCGACCGTTCTTGATCGCTAGAGTAGCGGATTCGAACGTAGATCTTCCCCTGTACAGACTAAATAGCTTATGCCCTCTATAACCACCCATACTGGTAAAATTAATACCCTTACAAGTGTGTACTTTTTAAACTAACTATAGAAATCTGTACATACGAAATGGGGACAGAATTAGGTCAGGACTTTGTCGACCAATATATGGAGTGGGTTTGACCTAAATCTAGGGAATGCAGGTACTGACAGTAAATATTGGTGTCTGTGTGCAGAGGGAGGGGGTGAGAGAGAGTGATATATGTGTTAGAACACTCTATCTATCTCCATTGTATATCTGACTTGCCTTCTCTTGCACTAAACAGACAGATGAATATAGGAGACTTATGTCTCTTGGTCTGGAGAGGCAATCTGAGAAATGAAACAGGAGAGCAGGGGGGAGTCAGCAGATGGGGGTTGATGACTGATGCTTGTTCTGTCTTTCCTGTCAAGATGTTACCCTCTTGGTGATGACTAATGTTGAGTTATTTTCTTGACAGGATGTATCTTTTGTGAGGAGCTGGCAGAAGTTTTCACAGTCCAACCAACACCCATCAACCAACCAAACAACCCTAAACTAACTGTACCCACCAGCTAACACCTGTGAAGGTTCCTGACATCTCCAACATGTGGGAGATGGTACCTCAAACATCCTACCAGTGCTAGAGCTTGGGGGAGCTCAACAATAATGTGTATCCTATTTTGTGATAGAGACTTGCTAAGTACCAGTGCAGTATTGTGTCCTCTATGGTGAGGTACTCTCTGACTATTTGATCCAGTGGAGCAGAATTTCCAGAATCAAAGACAGTCGAATCATCCGGAGCTGAAGGAGGCATCATAGACAGAAAGGATAGAAGCTAAGTCTGATGCTTCATGTGCTGTTGTTTTCCTCACAGCTCATTTGTTTCCAATGATGACATATAGTCACCTCCAGGACCGGCTGTCTGTATAGTTTCCTTGGGATCTAGACATTAGTGCTGAGATTCTTTCACTGATAGCTGGAATTCACTTCAATTTTTTTAAGTACAGATATTATACTAAATACATGCATTCATTTTCATGGCTGACTTAGGTTTCTCTATGTCACCTTCTTAAGTGTTTAGCAGTTGTATGTGTATGTATCTTCATTATATGTGTTAACATGGTTATGATAATGAACTATCATAACCTGGGGGCTTTCTTTAGTAAGTAGTGGGGGTGTCCAGCCAAGTGTGCCTAGAAATATTGTATTTATATACTGATATATTTTGTAGTGCTAATACTTGAGTTGCCCTACTCCAGAGATAGGTTGAGCGTATATTGGCCACGGGGAATCCCTTAGACCAATACGAGCCAAACGACTCAACATAATTATCTCTGAGTGCTGTTGGTTCTGAAGGAGGAATCCTTACATTAGGCACGCGACAGGAGTGATATGTGACACTTGTTGTTATCAATCTCTGATCTACACTGACTGACGATCTCTCTTAAGATATAATCGGCTGTTTTTAGGAGTTTCTTATTAGTTTCGCGAAAAGATATGAAACCGAACGGAAAGTATTTTAACAAGCTTCACAATATAACAAATACAAACAAAACGTGAACATTGCGGTTATGGAGCCTTCAAAAGCACATGCAAATCAAACAATACGACACAAAATCACTTAGCAGCCAGGTCGATGGTTTCTCTGCACAATGACTACATGTGGCTGGGGTGGGGGGAGGGGGGGAATACCCCATGTGGAGTACCAGGGGCCATAACTAGGGGGTTAGAGATAAAACTGTGAGGGCAGTTCAATGTCCTAGGAGTTTCAATGAAACTGTGTTGGCAAAACAGTCCGGTGGGTGTTAAAGTCCCTAGAGTGTAAATAAAGCGATTCTCAAGAGATTTGCGGACTCTGTGGCTGGAGTCACGTAGCCTTGGCTATAGTATTTACTCATTGTGCTAATATTCCATTCTAATTAGTCGCCTTCTGTGACATGCTTGTTAAGGGGACGTGTTTGGTCTATTGTTTGGTCTATTATTTATCCTCACCAATGGAACCGCAGAATCTTCACGAGGAAGCACCATATAACCTCGATGTGTAGAAATGTAATCTTCACTTGTTACTTTTAACACCAATCTCATTGTTTGCTTGTTGCAGAGGTATGTCCAGTTCAATTTCTACGAGTTTGACACCCAGGACGCAGCGACAATTCCTGACCTATCTTTGTGCTTTAATGAAAACAACACCTGGAATCTTCAACTGAATATCTCAGGTGACTTTTTTTTCAATTGCCTGCACTGTTTTAAAAGCGCTTGCCTGTGTTATAAACAGCCTTTTACAAATTATCACTGTAAGGACATTGCAGGAGCATCGAAGGGACAATAGTGATAAAAACAAGGATGACTTCAGTCACGCTGATATCAAGAAATTCAACCACTAAATTGTAACTACGAAGCTTAACAAAAGTGGAAGGGGAAAACTGTAAACACCAATTCCCCCCCCCCCTTTTCCCTCTCCCCTTTTTCATCTCTCTCTCTCTCTCTCTCTATCTCTATATATATATATATATATATATATATATATATATATATATATATATATATATATATGTGTGTGTGTGTGTGTGTATGTTTGGGTTTGCATGTATATGTTTGTTTCCCCTTCCCTCATCGTTAAGACTGTTAGTGACAGTTCACTGGATTAAAGTTGTGGCAACAGACAGCTGATATCCCAGGTTTCACAGTTAATGATAGAAACATCAAACGTGAAACCACACTGAGGTACTTTCAGGGACCAAATGAAGGTAACTGCAACAACAGGTTAAAGGGAGTGCAGTGCTTTAAAGTTTATGGAAGCAATGAATGTTCAGCAAAGAATGCTGTCCACAGTGTAACAGCACTTGATCACCTCAGGGGCGGAGTATGTATTGGGACTGCTCATCGTCAAAATAATCATCTGGTAAGCCTTGAGCACGTACAGAATGAAACCGTTAGAATGATTCTGGGATGTTCAAGAGACAGCCGCTCATTTGATGTGAATATCTGTACAGACGGCTTTGTATTGAGGGGCAGTAAAAGCTAGCTCAAAATAGTCATCTCTTTAAGGGAATGCAATTTTTCGTTCTTTGAAGCCCTACTCTGGCTCTTGTCAGGAGCCGCAAAATAGCCCTCCCATAAAAATGGTCTAATGGCTGAACGTGGCTTCTGGGACCTCTCCACGGTGATCCTTATCCACGTGGTGGCACTTTGTGTCATCGGGTGTTTATCGCTTGTGTGATGTCCTGGTGGGGTAAAAGGAGATAGATAGGTAGATGGATGGATGGACGGACAGACAGACGAGACAGACAGACAGACAGACAGGACAGACAGACAGACAGACAGACAGGCAGACAGGCAGACAGACAGACAGACAGACAGACAGACAGACAGACAGACAGACAGGACAGACAGACAGACAGACAGACAGACAGTAGTAGGTAGGTAGGTAGGTAGGTAGGTAGGTAGGTAGATAGGTAGGTAGGTAGGTAGGTAGGTAGATAGGTAGGTAGGTAGGTAGGTAGGTAGGTAGATAGGTAGGTAGGTAGGTAGGTAGATAGATAGATAGGTAGGTAGGTAGGTAGGTAGATAAGTAGATAGATAGATAGATAGATAGATAGATAGATAGATAGATAGATAGATAGATAGATAGATAGATAGATAGATAGATAGATAGATAGATAGATAGATAGATAGATAGATAGATAGATAGATAGATAGATAGATAGATAGATAGATAGATAGATAGATAGATAGATAGATAGATAGATAGATAGATAGATAGATAGATAGATAGATAGATAGATAGATAGATAGATAGATAGATAGATAGATAGATAGATAGATAGATAGATAGATAGATAGATAGATAGATAGATAGATAGATAGATAGATAGATAGATAGATAGATAGATAGATAGATAGATAGATAGATAGATAGATCGATAGATAGATAGATAGATAGATAGATAGATAGATAGATAGATAGATAGATAGATAGATAGATAGATAGATAGATAGATAGATAGATAGATAGATAGATAGATAGATAGATAGATAGATAGATAGATAGATAGATAGATAGATAGATAGATAGATAGATAGATAGATAGATAGATAGATAGATAGATAGATAGATAGATAGATAGATAGATAGATAGATAGATAGATAGATAGATAGATAGATAGATAGATAGATAGATAGATAGATAGATAGATAGATAGATAGATAGATAGATAGATAGATAGATAGATAGATAGATAGATAGATAGATAGATAGATAGATAGATAGATAGATAGATAGATAGATAGATAGATAGATAGATAGATAGATAGATAGATAGATAGATAGATAGATAGATAGATAGATAGATAGATAGATAGATAGATAGATAGATAGATAGATAGATAGATAGATAGTAAGTTCATGTGGTTTTATTGAAAAAGTCCATTGACGTCACCTAATTGCAACAACACCTGCTAACTGGCAGTCGTTGCTACAGAGGTACTTGACAGTGAGAAGAAAGCTGCGCCTGGAAGTGTCATCATGGGACAAAATAGTGTAAATGAGATTATAATATAACATTACATATGCTTACCTGGAACAGAATCTTGGATAACCATGCGTTAGCTATTCGGGAGCGCTGATATGAAGAAAACATCAGGGATAGGGCCTTCAACTCTCTTATAAATTGTTATGTGGTAGGCTTTCAGCACCGTTATAAATTGTTATGTGGTAGGCTTTCAGCACCGTTATAAATTGTTATGTGGTAGGCTTTCAGCACCGTTATAAATTGTTATGGAGTGGAGCCTCGAAGGGCCTAAACTGTGTTTAAGTCCTTAATAATAATAATAATAATGGGAGTCGCCGTGGCGGAGCGGCTAGACACTCGACGCGGATCGGAGGGTCGTGGGTGTGCTCCCTGACAGAGCCGGACTTTTTTCAGAAATGACCTTGGCTCCCAGGTCGACCCAGGTTTGAGTGGGTACCGGATGCAGTCCCGGGAAGTAATGGCGGCCGATGTGATGCTGGCCACCTCACCCATCTTGTGCCGATTGGTCTATAAAATATAGGCCTAGCCCTATTCGCCTATAGGCGTTGAAATGGGTCTTTTACTTTACTTGCTAATAATAATGAGGACCAGCAGGAAAATACTGACTGACAACATTAAAAGCATTCTACATTGTGGTATGACATTAGCCAGCGCTAGCCAGCATCAGTTGGATCGTAAATTACTTCCCTTTACACGGTGACCTGCCAAAAACAGCTCTCACGTGGATACCAGAGGAAAGGAGAAAAAAGGGGCTCCCAAAAACAACATGGAGACGAACGATGGAAAGTGACCTGTGTGGCATCTTTGACATGGAAAACTGCACTGAAGATTGCACAGGACAAGAAAGCATGGAAAGTCCTCTCCGAAGCCTCATGTGCCACTAGGCATAACGAGAACTGATGATGATGATGACGCGGTGACCGGGTGACGAACTTCTTGTGGTCCGGTTTCACGCCCGGGGGTAGGCAGAAAAGCCACATTTCTCCCAGATTTACGGTACCTATAATGGAATCAAGGCCGAAGGGTTGCGACATCCATAGTACCGAGTCAAAAGGTTAACAGCTCCTGGTTTCTAGATAATTTAAAAAACAAACGCAGAAGCAAAACAAAGTGAAAGTAACGGACCCTTTTCCCACGCCTCCAGGCGCATACTGGGCATTTAGGGCTAGACCTATTGTTTATAGATCAATCGGGCCCTCGGTGGGTTGTGTGGTCAACATTACGCTGGCCGCCTTTACTTCCTAGGACTATACGGGGTACCCATTCAAGGCTGTGTCGACCTGGGAACCAAGATCATGTTTGAAAAAGTCCGGCTCCGCCCGAACCCACGACTTTCTGGTCCGCAGATGAGCATCCAGCCGTTACACCACAAGGCCTCTCAATGGCAAAGTGGTTTTTCACAATGGTGATGAACAATGCAATTTTAATACAGGAACAGAAACAAAGAGTGACACTGCGACAGCTATAAATGAGATAAGTTACTGATGATAATCACCATGATGATGATAGTGATGATAATGGTGGTGGTGATGATGCTGGTGATGGTGGTGGTAATGATGAGGATGGTGATGATGGTGGTGGTGGTGGTAATGATGATGATGGTGATTATGATAGTTGTGTTGGTGATGATGGTGGTGGTGATGATGGTGATGGTAATGATGATGCTGGTGATGATGATAAGGATGATGGTGATGATAATGATGTTGATGATTGGGGTAGTGGTGATGGTGGTGGTGGTAATGGTTATTATAATGATGATTATTGTAGTGGTGATGGTGGTGGGGGTAATGATGAGATGATGATGATGATCGTGGTGGTGGTAATAATGAGGGTGGTGATGATGATGGTGGTGGTGGTGATAATGGTGATGATGGTAGTAACGATGATGGTGGTTATGATAATGATGGCGGTGGCAGTGGTGATGATGATGGTGGTGATGATGGTGGTGGTGGTAATGAATGATGGTGGTGGCGGTGGTGATGATGATAATGGTGGTGGTGATGATAATGGTGGGGGTGGTGGTGGTGCTGATGATGATGATAATGGTAGTGGTGGTGGTAATGGTTATGATGACGGTGATAATGATGGTAGTGGTGGTGATGATGGTGGTCGTGGTGATGGTTATAATGATAACGATGATGGTGGTGGTGGTGATGATGATGATGATGATGGTGGTGATGATTATGATGATTATGATGTCCCATCACTGTTTGTGTCCTAACAGCCTCGTATGATCAGATAAATAATGTGTCAAGCAACAGTTTTCGTCGCGCTTTCTTTGCTGCGATAGTGGCACAAACTAGTCTGGAATCTATTGTAAGGATCTCACGACTGAACGTAAGTAAACGTCTCTACCTCTCTCCGTCGCTCTCTGTCTCTCTCTCTCTCTCTCTTTCTCTCAGAGGAAACGCAAGACGGACGTTTAATCAGAATGCTACTGGCACCATTAGTATCGGAACTCTTCGCTGGCTGCTGAAGATGGGGACGAAGCGCTTATGGGAATGCCCCGAGTGCTGTGATATCGGTTCTTGAATCAAATCAAATCAAATCAGATCCCTTTACAGTGTAGCATGAGTTATGCCTCCTTGCTTCGTCCGACTGCAGTTTACACCATGACCGTCTGTAGTAATGGCCTTGCGGCTAAAAACAGAATATTGCAAATATTATGGATGGACCAGAAGAACGTTGCAAATATGCTAGGTGGACAAGAAGAATAGTGCGAATATACTGGGTGAACAAAAAGAGTGTTGCAAATATACTAGGTAGACAAGAAAGATAAATCATCCAAAATAAGAAAGCTGGCAAAGTTCACTCACTAATTTCCAGCGGATTAATTGGATACATACTGGATATTCACCCGCTAAAATTTAAGTAGTTTCTACTGTACCTTCAGTTTCTATGCTGTTCTCTCTAGTCTGTTCACTCTAAAGAAAAATTTTAATTTATTATAGTGTTTATTGTTTATTTAACTGATCAACATCATGGCACACGAGTGTAACCCATATGTGCTCCGTTCTATTTCTAACTCATGCTTGAGCCTGACAAATCTCACTCCGTTGTTGCACCGGTGAGGCTCCTGAAATACTTTGGGTAGATTTTTAACTTTAATTTTGCCCGTGTGTCGCCGTTAGGCTACTCTTTTTCGTTTTCCAACTGCCAGTGTATTTTTTTAATAGAAAACACATTGTCTTACATCGAGTTTTCCAATTGCTTACACATGTGTGGCAAAAAAAGACTTAGCAATGCTGCACGCTTCAAGGTATTGCTCTCACAATTGTTTTGTTCTTCTACCATCAGGTTCAACCTTTGACAGTCAGCCAGACACTGGTTCAGTTCAAGCTGTTTGACACCAGCAGTCTACCGCTCACTGGCGACGTGGCAAATGCCAATCCCGGCGTACCCAATTTGCAGATTTTTTGTGACCTCAACAACATCATTAACTCCGGAGCTTTCTCTATTGACGTTCCTGTTACCACCGATAGCAATACGGTACACTGGTTGTACATTACTATCCTTAGTGCTGCTGCTGCTGCTTCTACGATTAATACTACTAATTCTTCTTCTGCTATTGCTACTACAACTGCTACCACTACTGCTTTTTCACTGCTATTACTACTAAATTAATTATAATTATTATTATTCTGACCACCATCGTCCCTTTTTTCCACCTGGTGTTCATTTTATATTCTTCTTTTTCTTCTTCTTGTTCCTCTGCATTATCATCACCCTCTTCTTCTTTCTCTTTTTATTCTTCAACTGTGGCCCTGCATATATATGCTGCATAGAATACCCCAGTTACAGATAAAGACAATAGTAGATAACATCATAGTGATGTAGCACGTTGAAGATTTCATCTGTACAAGATAAAGGATTTACAGTGTCGAAAGATCTAGGTCCCTAGCCTTGTCTGGCGGCTGGTCTAAGAAACACAACCTTCTTCTCATCCGGCAGATCCTGTAGTGTGCTATATTCCAGCCGTATTGGTGTTCAATTTGCTTTTGAATAAATATGAGGTTCAGGCAATATATAGTAAAGTCCAGGACTCTTTTCCACGCCTTAGTCAATATATAGTAAAGTCCAGGACTCTTTTTCCACGCCTTAGGCAATATATAGTAAAGTCCAGGACTCTTTTTTCACGCCTTAGGCAATATATAGTAAAGTCCAGGACTCTTTTCCACGCCTTAGGCGTATTGGGTATATAGGGCTAGACCTATTATTTTAAAGACCAAACTTCACTTGGTGGGTGTTGTGGTCTGCATCACGCCGGCCGCCTTTACTTCCCATGACTGTAACCTGTTACCCACTCAAGACTAGGTCGACATGAGAGCCAATGTCATTTTTTTAAGTCCGGTTCACGTCAGGACCCGAACCCACGAACTTCCGATCCGCAGGCGATAGCCTAGCCGCTAGACCACATCGGCTCCCTTGGGCAATATATAGTCGCTACAATACTGCTAATGCTAAGGCTTCGTGTTATGGATGGGAGGAACTTCATCCATGGCCTTAAATAACACTCGCCATCGCTATGGTCTGTGATTCCTATTCCTCCTCCCCTAGAAAACTGTAACACCATGGTCAGGACCGATGCGAATATACAAAGAAAATCTGGATTCACAAAAGATCAGTAAGTATTCTCAATATCTTGAAATATCGATACGTATAAATACATAGGGGCGTAATATTGTGGGATCTGGCAGTAGCTGCATCACAAGATTTACAGTTCCCACCATTAGGGTTTGTGAACCTCTCCAGTGATGGAATATAAGTCCTGTTTTCGCGACGGTGAGAGCATGTGCGATTTCACACGACAGTTGCTGAAGACTCAAATCCTGTCTGTGTCGATTTGTACCTTTAAACTTGTACTATTCAGCGGGTACGCCTTCAGAGGTATTGAGTTTATAGTTTTAGACCTATATTTTATAGACCAGTCGGCTCTTAGTGGATGATGTGGTCAACATTACCCGGGCGCTTTTACTTCCCAGGATTTTACCTGCTACTAGTTTTAGGCTGGGTCGACATGGAAGCCAACGTCATATTTTAGGATAAAACAAAAGTGCGGCTTTGCCAGGGACTGAACCCGCGACCTTCGGATCCGAAGTCAAGCGTCTAGCCGCTACACCACGATGGCTTCCGTTCAATCAAGTGGCTAATGATCATGGTGAGAGTAGTTTGTAGACGACCGGACAGAAAGAAAAAGGTCGGGACTAATGGGATGACCTATGGTAGTTGGTACGACGACGATGATGATGATGATGATGACGAAAAGGAGAATACTGAAAAGTAGTTTAGCTAACTACTTCTGCCTCGCCCGGTTGTTGATGTTTTTTTTTTCCGGTGGAAAATCTCGGAGTGTCGCGTACACGTTCATTGACACCCCCCCCCCCCCCCCCCCCAACCAATCCCCAACCCCCCCCCCCCCCCCAACCAATCCCCACCCCGACCCCCTCTTCCCAAAGAAGGGTGGAAAATAAAATTAAGAAATGCTTCATTGGTATATATATAATTATACCTTTCTAGTCAAATGGCTCTCAACAACTCAAAAACACTAACCAATGACTGACTACATTTCTTCTATTTCAGGTGGGGGTTATATCGTACAAAGCAAAACCTAACTCACTGGCGATCTTCGGTCGTGACGTCACTGCCTGTGCCGCATCACAGACTGGTTATTCTGCGGGTATGCTTTGTTTGTTTATTGTTCATCCTACTTTCATCTTTCTTTTCTTTTGTTATCTTTATTTTCTTTTGTTATCTTTCTTTTCTTTTGTTATCTTTCTTTAATGTATTAGTTTATGATATTATTTATGTATTTTTATTTATTTATAGGTTGAAATGAAGAAAGCAACGTAACCCGTCTCCTGTAGCAATTTTTTTAAGGTGTTGATGCGAACTGTTCCCGGGGCGCACCGATTACACACACATTGTTCTCTTCCTTCTCATAAAACTCTCGTTGACGGATCCGCTCAAAATTCTTCCTTCACACATTCTTACACATGTTATTTCATCTAACTTTGTGTCTTCTATCAGCATTAGTACTGAAAGTGTCTCCAGAATGCCCCCTCTGTCCAGTACGAATGCTTCTGTGGCTCTCTCTCTCTCTCTCTCTCTCTCTCTCTCTCTCTCTCTCTCTCTCTCTCTCTCTTTCTTTCTCTCTCTCTCTCTCTGTGTGTCTATCTATCTATCTATCTATCTATCTATCTATCTATCTATCTATCTATCTATCTATCTATCTATCTATCTATCTATCTATCTATCTATCTATCTATCTATCTATCTATCTATCTATCTATCTATCTATCTATCTATCTATCTATCTATCTATCTATCTATCTATCCTATCTATCTATCTATCTATCTATCTATCTATCTATCTATCTATCTATCTATCTATCTATCTATCTATCTATCTATCTATCTATCTATCTATCTATCTATCTATCTATCTATCTATCTATCTATCTATCCTATCTATCTATCTATCTATCTATCTATCTATCTATCTATCTATCTATC